ATTCAAATAAAATTAATATGAATGAGATTCATATTAAAACTATAAGTTAAAAATAATGTGCATAAAATGTACATTAAAACTATAGGTTATACGAGAGAAATATTTTAGAATATGATTCTAATTTTATAATAAATAATTAGGTGTTAATTATTTATGTATATATATATTTATTAATTATTAATTGGATTAATAATTAATTATATTAATTAATTTGATTAATTAATTATATATATATATATTAATATTAATATTAATATTATTATTAATATTAAATCCCCTGCAAAATTGCAGGGGAGTGGGGGGTTGCTGTGACGTGGGGAGCTACCCCACGTCATTGTGTTTCTTCTTCAATGGTTGAAGAAAACAGAACACAAAGAAGAGAAAAAAAACTCCTTGATCTCTCTCAAAAATTCTCTCGATCTCTCCCTCTCTTCTATCAAGGTGCTACCACAAGCACGATCCCGAGACCCAAGAGGATAGCGAGAAAGATCCGATGGTGGTGTTCGTCAGAAATTTGTTGAAGAAACGTTCTTCAAAGGTACTGAATTTCCTCTGTATTTTCCTTCTTTCAATTTTGGTTTTGTATCCCGAAAATCAGCAACGAAAATCCGCTTCCGCTCCGGGAATCACATCTCTTCATAACAAAGGTAAGCTAACTTGCTTTTCTTCATCACTCATACTATAGCATTTTAATCTTAAATCTTTCTAAATCGACCTTGGTATATGTTGTAACTATAGCTAATTTAGCACCTTTATCAGATTATTGAGTAAGTTCACAAGGAAGACTGAATATTGATTATGGATACTGTCGTTAGACGAGGAATGTACGCTTACAATCCTTCTGATATACTAGCTAGTTTGTGCTATATTGTTTAAGTATATTTTGTGCTGTGCTGCTAAAGGATATAGAAGAAGTGTTGGATTCTTTTGTTATTGTAACCTCTTTTGTTCTATTTGGAACTTTGTTTGGTCATTTTGTTGGTTATTGTATCATATTATTGTGTAAGTGCATAAGAATTTTATGAATACTTATTATTGATACTTTCGTTACGGGATGATTGTACGTTTACAAACCTTATGATTGTAATGATAATTTTGTGCTATGTAATTTAAGGAGGTAGAAAAAGAGTAGGCATGTCGTTTATTTTAATCGTGCTTCTTCTGTTGGGATCTTTGTTTGGTCGTTATGTTGGAATCTGTATTTGCAAATATTACTATTGTGATATGTTCCTAGTGTGTTTATTTAAGAATGTTATTTGCAAAGATCACGATCCTTTGCAATTTTTAATAGATAGACACGTTCTTTTAGAAGGGACTTTCTTACTTTATCTATCTTTCGTTATTCATTTATCTAACTTGTGTATTGTTTTTTTCATTAGGTCTTTCACGACCCCAAAGAAGTCGACAATTAGGAATGCAATTAATTGATGGATGAACTTCCTTGTTGGGGTTGGTGTGTGAGACTTGTTTAATTCTGTAATTTGTGTTTGTAGGAATTTGAACATGTTTAATACAATGTACTAGCAAATCCAAGAATACTTGAAGAATACTAATATATTCTAAATTAATATATTAGCTCCCTTGTTCATGTTTAATATATTTCTAACTTTGTTATCTAAATTAATATATTTACGTGCTCGATCGACAATTTCATTATATGATATTTCTATTACGCGACATCTGCAAGCAAAACCAAATGCATTTTCTAGTGATTTTTTTTATCGTCACAAAATAAAATCATTCGACGTTTTTAAAACGTCACAAAAATGTTTTTAAGACGATTATTGAACGTTATATCCTTGCTAATTTTTGCATGACGGTCTTTAATCGTCACGTGTGCTAATTTTTGTGACGTTTTTTAGACGTCACGTATACTTTTCGTGATGGGCGTATGCGTGACGGCGTAAAAAACGTCACGAAAGATTTTTGTGACGTTAAAAACGTCACGATAAACCGAATTTCTACAAGTGCTCAAACACGTGGCAATGTTTCTTTCGAGGATTTTAAAAAACGTGATCTGTGAGGATTTTGGATTGTTTCAAATTCAAAACATATGTAAAATATGAGTTTAAAGTTTGGTGAAATGGTTGCGTGGAAAGTTAATGTATCATAAATGCTATTTATTAACCATAAGGGTAAATTCGTCTTTTCCCAAGAACAAAAAATGTAAGGGGTCAAAATTAAGTAGAGATGGTGTCACAAATTATATTTTTTCAAAAGGGGTTCATTTATCCAATTTCAACTATTGGTGGGTCACTAATCCCAATTTCCCCTTCTTTTTCTCACGCCGCACATAGCTTCTCCTCTCCCTCATTATTTCAGTCACATAAAAGAGCATGCGCAACCTCCGGAAAGGTTCACCAGAACCAAAATCACCATCTCCAACTCTCCTCCATCTCGCTCCTTCACCGATTGACTGAATTTTCTAATATAGTTAGCGCCGGTGGACGACGTCTCGACGATATGTAGTTGACACATCGACATTCCGACATGTCGACCACATATCATCGATAAAAGGGGAAAACGATTTTTCCCACCTTTGAAATATCGAACCTATCGACACGTCGACATGTCGCTCGATTTTTAGAACCGTGGGTGGGCAAGCTCGTAACTTGGGGGAAAGCGAGGTTCACTAATCTTCGTTTATGTTCCATTTTGGTCCTACACAAGATTAAACATAGTTGTAATGAGATTGAAAAATAAAAAATTTTGTTAATAAATTGAACCGTAAAGAATTTTGATTCTATACATACCCTCACTTTAGGTGATACACTAATATTCTCGCTCCAAGTGACAGAATACTCTCGCTTTAGGTGATACATTGCTCTCTCACTCCAGGTGATACAATACTTTTGCTCTAGGTGATTACGAAGAATCCTACGTTGAAAAGATAAGGACTTATAATAGATATATGTTACTTCTCTCCTTCCTAATTGATTTTGAGATGAAACATCGTGAATATTAATAGTGATACATCTTTTTTCTCTCACATATGTGTATACTCTTTCGGTGAACCTCTATAGAAGGTTACGGTCCAGAGTGACGCCCAATAGATGTCCCTGCCCAGATGCACCTGCTGTCCTGCTCCGTCGCCCATGTCTCTGCTTGCCCGCCATTGCTTGCCACCAAAGGGGATGCACTAGCGAGGAAGCCTTTTAATTAAAGAGTATATTTTCGACAATTGAATTATTTGTCTTAGATTTTGACTTTATTTTAAGATTTTTTTTTCTTTTTTAGTTTTTGACAAATATTTTCGAGTTTATGAAAAATCTTTCTTAACATCTATTTTATTTTATTTTTATTCAGATTTTAGGTTTTAAAAATTGTCTTATTTTCCTTCCAAATGACCTCACCCTATAAATAGACCCTCCCTTATAACATATTTTAATTGAGAATATAGTTGAGAGTTTTTCTCATATTTGTCAGACGTCAAGTCCCCTAGTGTATATTCACCTGGTGAGTTTAGAATGGATTATTGAGAAATATTCAAGCTTGTAGAGTATTTCGATCGTGAGTATAGTGAATCATCTATCTACTCTCAATATTTGACAACTTAAGGTAATTCATCTAACTTTTCGCTTTTGAGTTGAATCATCTATATGATTGGATTCTTGTAGCTAGAGACATGAGTGTCTATACGTTTGAGTTGTCGCGTATCATTTTTCTTCTCAAACTTCCTATGAGTTTATTAGGTTCAAAATTTTAATTAAAATGTCAAGATCCCAATTTTATAAAACATGACTAAAATATCACAAAATTCATATAAGTATTTAAATTAACAAATAAATATTACAAATTCTTCTTATTAATATTATGTCCATAATATTTTATTTTTTATTGTTGCAATGAGATGAATATCTAGTCTTCTTAAACTAAGTTAATTAATAATGATTGACAACTCGTTATTTTTTTTTTCTTTCTTGTAAATTTTTAATGTTTTTAATAGTGGTAGAACACCTAAGTATTTTCCACTAATAATTCAAAATGTGAAATGTATCATAATAGCCTCATAACTTTTCCTCAAAATTAAAAGAGCCAGCTTTTTCATTTGAACACTAAAAAGAAAAGGAAAAGCAAAACAAAACTCCAAAGAGACATGGTAAAGGAAAGAAAGATCTTTCTTTTTAATAAATAAATAAATAAATAAGAAATAAAACAATAAATAGTCACGGCAATTTACGATGGCTCTGGTTGAGCCTAGCTGCCGCCGCCACTGACGCCGCCACACCTGTTGGATGTGTTGTGAGAAGCGGGTCGTTCCTCATCTCGGCTCCAGCGACCCCTTCCGCATCCCGTCGTGTTGCCGGTCTATCCGCTGGTAACTTTGATCTTGCATCCTACGCCCAACAGTAATTCATATTATCAACTCATTTTACAATAATCTTCTAATCAAACATCCTATATTGCCCTATTATCACTAGGAATAATGTTCTTTGAACATGTGGCATATTGTAGACATTTGATCAACATATTTTATTATGGAGATGGAACAAGAACCCTTCCGTATAAAATAAGGATAGAATAATAAATATAGATAATAAAATAGAATTAAGAATATAACATATTTTGTATTACATCTAACACCTAACAAAAAGTGTTTTAAAAATGTAAGCAAAACATTTGCTGATATTTATGATATAAGTTTTTTTAGTTTGACTAAGTTTCCAAGTGCGAGGAATGAGCCCACGACTCACACGCAATAACTTGGTTTGATTAAGAAAATCTACTTTGAAACAATTTTTTTAATTAAAATTTTATTTTTTATTATTTTAATCTTGTATAATGATATAATCGATATAATCTAATATGAATATATTGTCGATATAAAAATATAACTTATATGAGTAATATACATAATATAAAGTATATTATGGATATAATGCTAGAGATATAATCTACTTTTCCATTTTTTTGGGTTCAACTGGAGTTTTTTTTTTCTCGTAACAGGTGATTAATTTTTTAAATTTATTATTTTAAGTAAAATCTAGGTAGACTTAAAAACTTGATAAAAACTGATCCTGTAAAAGTTAATTAGTTATGCTTTATGTGGCATTAGTTAATTAGTTAATCTGTTTCTGCTTTACTAGATGGTCACTGTCAAATCTAGAGAGATAAATATAAAACAGACCATTTTTGGTCAGAATAGAAATACACCCACACCATTTTCCAATGTTTACTAATTAAACACTCCTAAACAATTTATGCAAATAGCCAGAATAATGCAACTATTTATGTTCTTGTTCCTTATTCTGAAAATTGTAAAGAAGTTTCGAAGAAAGTAAAACAAATTATTTTTCAATTATTTCAAAGCATTAACAAAAACATTTTTAGATTCATCGGTGTTAGCAGTTAGGTAAACTTTTTTTCCATTATTAAAAATCATAAATGAGAAGAAATAATAATATTACCAAACAAGCTCTTAATATTTAAAAGAAATAAAAATGGTGGGGTACCTTTAGAATGTCGGCGAGTTTGGTCTTATCCTCATCCCGAGCTATTCGAGCATTCAAAGTGGCGGCCGACTGTGCAGTGGCGGCGACACCTCCCGGAGTTATATTCATCCGCCCAGTCGCCCTCACCTCGGCCGCCTGGATTGCTGCAGCATCACTCCATTCCACCGGCTTCTGCCCTACTGCTAGAGCCGTCGCTTCCAATGCTTCCCCAATTGTGATTCCTCCGCCACCCCCGCCTCCCTCCTCTTGCTGATCCATCATCGACAATGCCGAAATTGGAAACAATGCCGAAATCGAAACTGTCTGAGTTTGTTGGGTCGTACCCTTACATGTTCATGTCCAACATAGCGGCAGATTCAGAATTTTGTGTGATAAAAAATCATTATATAATAATTTGGCTGGTAAAAATATGATTTCCTACCCAAATTTATACTAGTTCTTATAAATTATAGCTTAAATTTTACAATATTTAGTGGAAATTTTTGTCTATTAGAAATAAATTTTCTAAAAGTTTTAAAAACAAATACTAAATTAGAAAAAGAACTAAAATAATTATTATTATGAAATTGATTTGAAATTGAATTGGCCCATGAGCCGTATTTGGAACGAAATGTCCAATTCAATATAATCAAATATTATTATTGTATATTGCATATATTATTATTATTATTATATATGGTATATATATATGTATTAATTATTAATATATAATTAATTTAGTATTTACAACTATTATTTATTATCATTTTCATTCTTCTAATTTTTTTTAAATATTAATATAGTAATACAATCTATTTCTTTAAATATAAAATAAAGAAAAGTGATAAAAACATGATATAGTAAAATTTAATAAAATTAAATTACAAAAAAATTAAAATAGAAACAAATTCTACAGCTCGGTTGGGATAGAAAAGAAATATTTAAAAAAAAACAATTTATTATATGGACTAATTTAAGGATGATTTGAACGATCAATTCAAATCCGATCCAACTTTAACCTATTAAGTTAGGCTCATGGACTCACCAATAAACCTAGGTTTAAGTGGTTGTCTTAAAGTCCATAGGATTTTGGCTTGGACAGAGTTCAAGCCTTTATTTCCTTATATCGAGTTATAGATTCACTGATGTAATGACGAGGGTGAAGAGGGCACATTATCAAAATAATCACCCCAATCTTGTTTAAACCTTCCACATGTAAAATTTACTGATGGGGATCTCTAGACTGACTATCATTGGAAGATTGATGTTTATTTTTCTTTTTTTTTTTTAAAAGAGAAACATAGGTCTTCACCCGTTACAACTTAATGGATGGAAGAAAAAACAAA